GCCGCCGTTGCGCGGCGCGGCCTGGGCGGGGCGGCCGGGCGCTCAGGAGTGCGGCTGCGGCAGCGGCGGCTGGAGCGCAGCAGCCGGTCTCTCTCACCGCAGTCCGCCGGCCAGCCCGCCGCCGCCCCGCGCGATGGCCGGGAGCAGCTCGCTGGAGGCGGTGCGGAGGAAAATCCGAAGCCTGCAGGAGCAGGCGGACGCCGCGGAGGAGCGCGCGGGCAGCCTGCAGCGCGAGCTGGACTACGAGAGGAAGCTGAGGGAGACCGTAAGGGACCCACCCATTGCCCACCCACCCCCACCCAGAGGCGCCTCCGCCCCAGTTGGGCCCACAGAGCGGTGCAGGGCCCTCCAGAGCCCACCTACCCCTGCCCCCACGCCTCCAGGGGCGCACCTGGCGCACCTGGGGCAGCTGGCGTCGGACTCTAGGGAGGGGCCCTGCCTGTTCCTTTCAGCCCTTCCTTTCCATCTTCGCTGGTTTAAAGTAAAAGCCCCGAGGGGAAGCAGGAGTGGTGTTGAGAAGGTTCTGGAAGCAGCGCTTTCCCAGAAAGGGCTCTATTTTGGGGTTATTTGCGTTCGGCCCGGGTGTCTCGGGTCCCTCGGGATGTGCACTTTGCGCTGCTGGCATTATTTACTCGAAGGGTGGGGAGGGAAGAGGGAAATCCTTTTGGAAATCCGTTCCTTTGGAAAGGGGCGCTGACAGGGAAAGTCTGGGGCACTGCCAGACTTTAGGGCCGGGGGATGCTAAACTCCACCATCCCCGTTGACCATTGGTTTTCTTTGTGGTGGTTGAGACATTGACAGCGCCGGGCTCTGACATACATATGACATGCATAGTATGAGACCCGCTTACCTTTCCCTTTGTATTAACCATCTCTCCTCCCTAGTGGTCGTATACAGATATTCCTTTGTTACCGAGTATTGAGAAGAGTTGGCTACATGTCAACGATCATTGGGTGTATTCTCTTGCCGGCTTCCCCCTCCCCCATGTTGAATGTAATACCTGGTTTCCTTCCTTTCTCCTAAGGCAAATGTATCCAACATACAGGAACAGGATTTCAGAGGTAGCTCAGGCATTTGCTATTTGTTGATTTTTGAGTGTGTGTTTTAAATCAGGATACTCAAACACCTTGGGAGTTTTATGACAAGCATAATATGGTGTCCAGCTGTGCTTAATACGGACCCATTCTTCTGAGTTGAGTAAATCCTACCGGTTAGGTGTTTGTAATGGCAATATGGCTGGCTGCAGAAACTTCAATACCTGTTTTGCATAAAATACATAGAAACAAATGGGTCCTCTTAGGAGGAAGGCCTACCTAGAGGAAATTTGGTGGAAAATACAGACAGGAATCAGGAAATTAATAAGAAAGACAGTTTTCTTGAGAACAAGTCAGCAAAGATCCCATTGATGTGTCTGAATTTGACAGGGCAATCAAATGATTCCAGTTCTCTCTCTGCCTGGCTAACAGCTGTCCTTGAACCATTAGAACTAATAGAACATGATGGTTAAGAATGAGAACTCTGGACCCAGACTGCCGGGATCTGAATTCTGGCTTCTGCTACTTACTCCCTGTGAGATGCTGGGCAGAATAACTTCTCGTTCTTTCAGATCCCTAACTCTAAAATGTGGATAATAATAATGCCTACCTGTTGAGGTGGCCAAAGGAGTTAGTATGTGTAAAGAAATTACAGCAGTGTTTGACACAACAGAGTAAGTGCTAAATGTCAGCTGGTATTAAAACTGCACAGCACTTGGCTTTGTTCTTTGCTCCTTTGCCTTCAGTTCATCACCTATTCAAAGGGTCTTGAAAATGGCCTACTCTTTTCACTACATGTCAAAGCACTGCATATAAACGCTTTAACCGATATTTTTTTTTTTTGTCTTTTGGGAATTTGATGGAGAGAGGATGTGGGCAGACTGGAGGAAATGTTTGGTTGAGGTGGCATGAGTGGTGGAAGTGAGTAGATAGAACTCCCCTCACCCTCCTCAGAAAGGGAACATGTAGTCCTCTGCAGGAGAGCCTTCTATAGACTCCTGTCCTAGTGTTTGATGTTAGACACAGAAGATTAATTTTATGAAGGGCATATTGTTACTTTTATACATGTCTTCTCTTTTGTACATCATTTTTCTAACGGTAGTCTTCCTGGGCCTGCTGGCTAAAGATGATGCTTTCATTCTTTTCAAAGCTTTGTGTTTAAAGTGGTTTAAATAGTTTGAACTTTTTGGAAGTAATTTTCAAAACACTCTATCCAGGTTGATTGGACACAGAACTTTTTTTTTTTTTTTTTTTTTTTTTTTTTTTTTTTTTTTTTTTTTTTTGAGAGGGAGGGAGAGAAAGAGAAAGAAAGAATCTTAAGCAGACTCCACGCCCGGGGCAGAGTCTGGTGACACAAGAACTCGATCTCACAACCATGAGATCATGACCTGAGCTGAAATTAAGAGTCGGGTGCCTAATTGACTGAGCCACCCAGGCACCCCAGAACCTTTTAAGATAGCAGTTTGAGGACTGAGTCAGAAGAGACCATTGCAGATTGAGAGTTGTTCCTAACTTCTGCAACTGTAATTTAGAGGGAGTTAATTTAAGGTGGTCTCTTGGTAGTTGTCAGACATAGCTGTGAGTTAAGCTAGCAGTCAGTTTCTCTTAGCTACAAGGATACAGGTTTAGTGACAAAATCATGAGCCGCTGCAAGAAATACTTGGCTGGAGAGTTGGCCCTAAATTCTGATTCTGAAAAGTTCAGACGTACTGTAGTTAATAGGCCCTCTTAGGCTAGCACTACCTTGGAAAACTTGGTTATCCCTTATTTCCTACTGGTTTGTTTTTCCAAAGTGTGTGGGCCCTTCAAAATGTTGGAATGAGGATACTTTGCTTGATATAATGATTGACTCTAGGTCTTGTGACACACTAGGGTTTTGTGTGTTTTTTGTTATTATCAAAGGAAAGAGTAGCAAGAAGGAGCCAGTCTTTGCTCCTTTCTGGGTGGTATCCAGCAAACAACGAGACTTAAAGATGTATCCTGTAGGTTCTCAACTAGTAATTTTATTAAATCGTGGGAAATAACCAATTAACAGAAATCCCCTACCCTCTCCCACTTTCAAGTTGGTAAATAGCTCTGAGACCAGGAAACTCAAAAGAGTGCGCTTTGTGTTCACATTGGCAACCCCAGGCTGGCAATGACTGGAATATACACTCATGATTTCTGTCTTCATATGTAGGCAAGGCAAGGGCACTACAATGCCCTGTTCATGTCCGTTCTCCCTCATTATACAAATATGCCTCATAAATTATAGGCCTTGGCACAGATAGAGGAGGTTGTGTTTATCTATTATCCATGGGAGTGCCCCTTAATGTCATCAGTGGTTTTTTCCCCTTTCCTTACCATATAAGGGCAGAAGTTTAACTTGGCTGTAGTCACTTGGTCTTACACAGCAAGTTGGGTGAAACCTTCGCCGTATAACTACAGTTTGCATGAAATAAAAATGCCTGACCTTTGGTCATCCCACGTTCCCCTCTGGTTCAGGAAGGACTTTGAAAACATATTCCAGAGGATCATTTTTTAGGATATAATGTTACTCTCCTAGTTACTATTTTCTTGGCTGTTTTAACTAGAATACTTTTTTAAAGTAAAAACCATTGCTCTCTCTCTCTCTATATATATATATATACACATATATGTATGTATATATATATATATTTAGTTATATTGGCCAAAACATCTGGATTTCATGAAAATGTAGGCATCATAAAAGTTTGCTGTCAAATCTGATTTGGAGTAATAGTTTGCTATGTTGAAGTGGCCCTGCTACGCTTGATTCTGTATAGTACCTTGTTGAGGTTGGGAGAGCGGTGTGCCTACCCTTGTTTTCCGTGTAGGTAGCTGGTACCTTTGGGTTGGGTGCAGGGACAGGCCAGGCCCAACTGCAAAGTGCCTGCTGGCTGTTTAACAACAGATCTGCAGGAAGATAATTGGTAGCCTTTACTAATATAGCAGTCTCTTTTCTGAGTAGCTCATTACATGTTGGGACACAATAGCACTTTTGAAGTAAAAGAAACTAGCATCCCAAACTGAAAGACTCCACCAGCAGTTATCAACACGTTTTTAGAAGAAGCCAACCCAGCGCACTAAGGGTGATTTCCATGCCTGGAAATGATTTGCGTCTGGAGTCTTGACCCTTCCCACACTCCTTGTTGTTTATATGTGCTTTTTAAATAACAGATACTCATGTGGCTGGGGACTTGTACTGGCAGAGGTAACCGAAGGTTAAATCTTAAGTAGACTACCCAGGTTCTGTGATGAAGGAAGCTTAGAGAATACCTAAATAAACTTCAGAACTTAGAAAACACATACCAGAAATAAAAGGCTAGTGAAGGTAAGAGCTAGAGGCCTTTTGAACAGAGCGTAATCCAAAGCACACACATATATTCATTCAATCATTCATATTCTCTCTCTCTCTCTCTCTCTCTCTCTCTCTCTCTCTCTCATATACACACACACAAGTAAAAATAAGAGTAAGAAGTTTCCTTAATTAATTTATGGACTTAAACTTGAGTTGCAGGGACCAAAACAAAATTGCGGCCATCCCAGTGTGGAACGGCCTGAGAAGCCAGTGGGAGTCCAGGTTTTTCCCAGGGAAAGCTTACGTGCAGATAGACGTACCCCAGACACTGCTCCCAGGTCCCAGCTGTAGCCTACAAGCACCTTTGCCCGTGCTGCTGTGAAAGCTCAGGGGCAGCGGGTGTTGGCTTCCCAGCTTGAGGGCAGATGCTCTGTGTCTACCTGTGAGGTGTCACCCATGAGTGCTACTTGGTGAAGTTTTCAGTGGAATACCATACCTTATCTCTGAAGGGACGGAGAGGGCTTGTTTAGTGGATGCTATGCAGTACAGTAACTGTTCTCCTAGGCCCGTCATCAAAGCCTCTCTGTCACATGGGGAGTTGTGTTGAGAGAGGCTATAGGGGACTTGCCACTCTAACATAGGAAGAGAGAAGTAAGAGGTAAGAACCACCAATTCCAGGGCTGCTGTGAGATCCCTGGAGGCCATGAGAAGTGGCCGAGCCCACACACGAGGACCCAGGCAACTGGGGTTTTAGTCTTGTCTCCCACTGATGTCTGTATGGCCCGAGCAGGGTCAGCACTGTGGGTCAAAGCTCCCTCTCTCCTTTCTTTTGAAAGGAGAGCTGGAAGAGTGGTTCCCACAGGATTTGCCAGCTTCTTTGGATGGTGGGGCCGGGAAGGTGGAGGGATGGAACAGGTTGCGTATTTATGTTGCAGATGTCTGCCCTCCCCTCTGACCTCCTGAATCAGAATTTCTGGAGATGGGGCCTGGAAGTTTGCATTATTAATACGCCTCTTCTAGGGGATTCTGACAGCCAGTTGTGGGAACTGCTGGATGATGCCTAGAGACTCTTCCAGATAAACAGTTGAGACCCCATTTTGTGAAGCAGCCACTCTGCTGTGTGCACGGTCCTGGCTCCTAGAATGGACCTCCGTTCCCAGTTGTTGCTTGGGGGCCCTGAATGAGGCCCTATATAGTGCCAAGAAGTCGGAGGTTCTACGACACGCTCCTAGGAAAGAGTTAGTGACGTTTACATATCAGGGTCCAGAGCTAAAGGAAGGAGTGGTTAGAGTGAGGGGCAATAAGAAGGAAGCTACAGATTGACGGGGGCCGCTTAGGCAGGGAGATCTTGTGTACAGAGGCAGGAATGAGCATGGGGGCATGGTCTCCTTACTCTCCATGCCCTGGCCACATGACAAGCTGGGGACCTAGACTGCCCTGCCACCCGGAAGGTCCTTTCCTCAGAGCATAAACCCTGTTCTTTCTGTGAGTACAAAGTCCTCAGGGTTGGGGCCCAGGTGAAACACAGAGCAGAACCTTAGAGTGTGGTGGCTACAAGAAAACACTTTGAAAATCGTGTTGACATTTCTCTGGCCATAGCACCTGTAATGAAGATACTTGCCTTCATATTCAAAATAATAACGAAAGGTGAGGAATACTTTCAAGTGTATGACCTAGACATTCTACTAAGGTATTTTTGGTTTTGCTCTTCGTTTTTGTTTTCAGCTTTCGGAGTTGCTTGTTTCCTGACAGCCCCCCACCACCATGCCCCATTGATAAAAGGAACAGAATTGTGTTAGAAATGGAAAATACGAAAAGAGTGAACAAAACTGACCTGACCTTAATGTATAGTTCCTTCCAATTTTTAAGAAATAGGGCTAGAACGACAGTTCCTTTCATGTAAGAAATGCATTGTCCCTATTACCCTCTCTCCTCCTCTAGAAAAAAAAAACATACTCATTAGCCGGTCAGACTTAGCAGAACCCATTACTAGCTGTGCACCCCTAGGGATTTACTTTGTGGGCCTATGTGGATGCACATTGTCCTCCTCAGAGTCATTTCCCATTTCTCCTATTCCCTGTCTCCGTCAGCCTGTTACTACTACATAGTTAAGTTTTGTCGAGATAAAAGTGTATTTGAATTTTTTACAAAGAGTCCTTCACCGTGGTTGGAGATGCCCTAATGACTTCTCTTCCCCAGACAAAACTTGGCATTTAAAATTTTACAAATCCAGAGGAGCGAAGAGCTGAACGTTCTCGTATTCATTTCATTCAAGGCCATAATCACAGCCTCTCACTACATGTGCCTTTCAGACTGTGTACATCAGGAGTCCATGAGCTAAGAAAGTTGCTTTTGTTTAAATTATGTCGGTCTTATTTATTTTATTCAGTAGACATTTACTGAGCCCATATTCTTTCTGTGCAGAGAACTATGATTCCTTACATGTAGGAAGCTTCCAACTGAGTAAAGCACACAGAAATATGGATAGAACTGGCATGCCTTAAGTATGTATGGTAATTTTTAGAAAACTCTAAAGTGGTGTCCTGAAAACCTTCTCTCTCACCCCATGATAAGCACACATTCACAGTGGCTGCAGATGAGGAAATGGTACCTGATTAGTAAGTTCGCTCTTTGACTTCCAGGCATAATATTGAAACAAACACCAATGCAAGTGTATGTAACGGATCATCATAGACTTGCAAGTGTTCTGAGGCTCACAGTAAAAAGTGCTTATGATAGCAGCTAATCATTGCATCGCCGAAAAGTAACATCTCTAATTTAGATACAGATACTAAATAAAAATAGTATCTGTACCGCTTTCTCCTAAGGAGTTTGAAACTTTTCTTGTAACAACCTTGCAAGAAATGCCAGTAAGCTTATCTCAAGAACACTTGGGAAATTTGTCTTGGCCCTGTTCCAGCATATGACCGAGTTCTCCTAAAGGGGTTACTGAAAGGGGAGTGGGGGAGGGGCGGTTGTGTCTGTATGGCATATATTTTAGAACGGCTGACTTTTTAAATACTTTAGTTCCTTTTAAGACTCCTTTGAGAAAGTAGCCAGGAGGAAGGAGAATGCAGACTCCTGAGTCTGGTTTCCGGCTGGACTGCTCTTGTCCTATGTGGCGGAGCCTGGGTGGGTCTTGTCTCTGCCCACTGCTTGAGCCCCCGTGAGTGAGGTGGCTGTAATGAAGCTCCCCTTTAGCAGTCAGGGGGACCCACTGTGGAGTTCTGTGGAAGAAAGGAACCAAGTGAGAGAGCACTTGGTAACGGTCCCTCTCTCCACTGAGAATGGTGCGTGTGGACTTAACACACGCGAGTGTGGACGTTCACTATATAAATCAATGTAGCAGTGTCTTCGAGAACTCTGGACTTGACCAGGGTGTGTAATGCACTTAGAGGTAGCTCACCCCACCGCCAGGCTTCCTGTCAGAAATCGGTGTTTCTGACTCAGCCACTTCCTGTAGGCAGTGCCCTCACTTTCTCTCCCAGTCTGAAATGCCTTTCACTGTCTCTGCCTAGGCTGAAGCCGATGTAGCTTCTCTGAACAGACGCATCCAGCTGGTTGAGGAAGAGTTGGATCGTGCCCAGGAGCGACTGGCAACAGCTTTGCAGAAGCTGGAGGAGGCCGAGAAGGCAGCAGATGAGAGTGAGAGGTGAGGGTGCCTCTCCCAGCCCACCTTTCTGCACAGGCCTCTCCTCTGGGTGGAACAGGAGGGCTTCTCTGATCTTTGGGGCTTCACAATTTTACAGTGCCTTGGTGGGATCGTCTCCTCAGTTGATCCCAGGTATAACTTTACTAGGTTTGTTCCTTTAACGTTAGTGGAGCCCCTGTGTACAAAGCACTGTTTGAAATCCCAAGGTTACAAAGAAGAAAGAGCTCCTATTCCTGCCTTCATAGAGCTCATCATCCAGAGAGGGAGATGGACCTTTAAATGAGAAATTCTAGGGATGACTATTGGTTCTTTCATTCTTGCTGACCGCAGAGCAGTTAGACATTTCCAAAAGATAAACTTTATTTAAAATACGCCAAGGAGACTGGGCCCAGATAAATGAACCATGGACTATCAGTTGTCAAGTAACCCAGCAAATTGGTGGAAGAGGAAGCACAGATAAAACAGAAATATTATCTGCAAAAGTAAATTGTTTTGGACTTAGTAATGTTGGTAAGATACTGGTGCACATGTAAATATAGTCGGATACTCGTGTATTCAGAACCCACTCCCTGTAACCTGGCTCCACCTGATTATTACTCCAAGATTCAGTTTTGTGGTAGTAAAGGAATACCATGGCCATATAGCCCAGCACAACTCCGTGTATTCTAGAAGTTGTTCAACTGCTCAAGTTAATGTATTCATACTGCATAGAAGCGTTCCAAGAAAGACTGAACTGGAGAGTTCTCCTGCTTGGAAGCATGACAGAGTAATGTGGCGGCTCAGAACACTGGGAGTGTGCATCGGTGCTGTGGCCTGGGCAGGTGAAGGCAATCCGTCATTCTTTCCATTTCTCCTTCTCCGATAGAAGTGAGTTTCTGTCCACTCACTCCGATAGAAGTGAGCACCCTGCCACCATGGGTAAAGAGTGATTTCAGCCTTGAAGATTAAAGAAGCATTTAAGTTGAAGTTTCCAGCTCCTTGTTCACTGCTGCTTATTGTTTCTTCCCTAACCAAGAGTTTTGGAATTCCTTAAGATGACTCATCATCTTTTACCGTGCACACATGCCAGTGGTTTTGTGGCTGATTCTTCCTAAAATATACTTGCCAGCAAACGTAAAAAGCAATCTGGCAATGTTAGACTTTGTAGGAAAAAAAGGAATTCAGAGATCACTTACCCCACTCCCCTCTTTTTACAAATGAGAAGACGAGGGCTCAGAAGTTGATGTGGCCTGCCCAAAGTCTCACGGCGGATTTATAGACAAGCCAAGAATTTTAGTCTTCTGATACATACTGTAGTACTTCATCATCTGAACTGCCTACTTAGATTTTGGTAAACGAATCCCATTTTATTTTATTTTATTTTATTTTTATTTTTTTAATGAATCCCATTTTAAAATGACTTATTCCATAAAACTGTAATACATCCCACAACAATTTACATTTTCGAAAACTTAACACTGTGAGATCCAGAGACAGCACAGACGATGGCATCAATCTCTCTGTCAACACCTCTATTATGTAAGAATTCTCTTAAAGGCAAAACTCACAGTTTTTCATCTAAAGTATTAGGTCGACCCATATGAAGTTGTCATTTTTGTAGGGCTGACATAGTCAAGTGTCAGCAGCGTCACGTGGTTCGGTCTAATGTTTACGTTTGTGACTGATGGGGTGAGAACAGCTACCTTCTTTGTAGGAAGAAGTACGCGAAGACAGATTTGTTTTTGTTCTAACTAGGAAGAAATCTCATTATTTATATAGCAAGTAAAGCATGTTGGCTTTTCCTGTTTCCATGCTTCCCAGTTTCAAGCAGGATCCTGACGTGGTACCTTTCATTTAACGTTAGATCCCTGGATAGCTTCACCAGTATCGAAAGTGTGAGGTTTCGTTCACAACAAACAGAGAAGTGTATGTCTTTTCCTTCCTTCAGCTCTGGAAACTCTTGCTTCATGGTTTGGAAAATAAAAGCTGCCCTGTGCTCTATTTTGGTCTGCCAGTTACACCAAGCCTCACAGACCAGTGCAGCGCAGTGTGGGTTCACGGAGGTCTCCTCTAAACCTTGGGTCTTCTGCTTGTCTTCCTTTTCAGGGGCATGAAAGTCATTGAAAGTCGAGCCCAAAAGGATGAGGAGAAAATGGAAATTCAGGAGATCCAACTGAAAGAGGCCAAGCACATTGCTGAAGATGCCGACCGCAAGTATGAAGAGGTCAGATCTTGGGGCCCAAAGCCTCGCAGACTCCCCTGCATTGGCCTTGGTGGGGGCCAGGAAGCAGTGCTTACACCCTTGCGTTCTTCAGTGAAACGATCTGCTTCCTTGGGGGAAATGGGTGGTTTTGAGAAGCAGATTCCCTTTGTCTCCAGAAAACAGTTCTTATTTGATCCTGCTAAGGCATCCCAGTCTTTATCATGAAGCCGGGCTGAGAAAGCACTGAGAAAGACCAAAGCTTCCCCTGTGATATCCCAGCTGTGCAGCCCCCAGACGAGGACAAAAGACCTTTGGCCAGGAGAGAGGAGAGTTGGGCCTCACTTGTGGAAAGAACCTCTCATACTGTCACCGTGCAGGCGGCTCTTCCTGGTGTGATTCACCTAACATGATCCAGTTCAGGCAGCATAGGGACACAGTCCATGCACTAAAGTCCGCGTAGATTCAAGAGGCCCTTTTCAATGTGGCCTCTCTTTTCAAGGTGGTAGAATCCTGTTATCAAGATAGGTTCACAGGTGAATCAGCTTCTGGTCATGTCTCCATGAGAACAACTTCCTGTGATAACAGAGCTAACATGACTGTTGCCTTAGTTTTATCTTAATGTGTCACGGCTGTCTTGAAATGGCATTGACACTCCTTTTTTCTATTATTGTTATTTACCACCATCGTTATTACTATTATTACTTCCAGGTCACACTATGCCTGCTACTTTTGAAATGCTTCAAAGGATCCCTTTGAAGCTCTCAGGTCCTTTCCTCTGCTAAATACAGAGTTGACTCCATTAGTCATCTTACCAGCTCATCTCAAGTTAGCTTCTCTTGGTATCCTGTTGTCATTTTTAACCTCCTCCACAAAGAGGAGGTTGAGGTACAGAGCTCTAAATTGATAGAGTTCTCAGGATTATTTTCAGTGGTTTTTGGCAGCCCCCACCTTCACAGCATCGGATGCATCTCGTCTCACCATTCTGCTATTTTCAAGATGGTGAATTTCCTCTCTCTCCCTTCCTCCACACTTGGGCTGGCTGCCCTGTAATTAAATGGACTTCACCTGAGTCAGACTTAAAATCAGACTGCCTCCCCCAAACGAGCGACTCTGAGTCTCTGTGAGCAGAAGCCTCTGGTCTGCTCTCCCCTGGCCCTCCAGGTAGCGAGTTGCTTCTCTCCCATCCACGGGAAAGAGGGTCATCTCATTTGTCGATAAGAACTTGTAGGGGCCGGTGGGGCCAGTACCCACCTCCGTGTCCTGCCCCCATACTCAAAGCTTGCTGGCCCCATGGTGTGTGTGTGTGTGTGTGTGTGTTGTGTTTGTCCTGCTACAGGTGGCCCGTAAGCTGGTCATCATTGAGAGTGACCTGGAACGTGCGGAGGAGCGGGCTGAGCTCTCAGAAAGGTAAGCGGGCCCGGTGCCGGTCTGCTGTGTGTGGGGTGCTACAGAGCAGTGACTAAACAGCATGACCTTCTGGCAGCTGCACATTGACCTGTTTCAGCTCCAGGCTCCTCCTGTGCTCACCCGACATGGATGAGCTGCGAGCACGGAACATGGAGGACTTGTGTGGGGTGTCTGTATGAATGCGTGTATCACTGCATGCCTTACCTGCACACTGATTTTGAGAATGGCCTTGTGCATTTCCTGTGTCCACTAACAGCCAAGTTCGACAGCTGGAAGAACAATTAAGAATAATGGATCAGACCTTGAAAGCATTAATGGCTGCAGAGGATAAGGTACTGATGGCTCATGTGTGGTTTTAGGTTTAACTGCAACCCAGACGCCTTTCAGCTTCCAGTGTCTACTGGTTCGTTCGGTATAACGACACCCTCTGCTGTCTTCTGTCTTGCTTTAAGTGCTTTCTTTGGGTCCTTTAAACTCCTTTGTTTTTCCTTCAAAATGCTCTTTGGTGCAGCCAAAAAGAAGCCAAATTATCATACTCCAAAATTACTGGATTTTTGTCACCCTGCCTTTCTGCTGGTGCAAGTTTAAGGAGGCAGTGTCCTCAGCACAATTGAGTTCCTTAATACCTGATGATTTGGCTACTTTAAGGCAGCCCTTTGTTCTCTGGGACTCGGTTTTCATTTTTTTCCCATCCCTCTCCTTTTTCTCTCCTCCTTCCTTGGGCTTGTCTCCCACCCTTTCTGCCTCTGATCGAAAACATTAGCAAATGTGCCGAGCTTGAAGAAGAATTGAAAACTGTGACGAACAACTTGAAGTCACTGGAGGCTCAGGCTGAGAAGGTAGGCCAGGAGCATGGTGTGGGGGAGAAGCATCTTTTAAGAGCTGCTCGAAAGACCCATCCTTTTTCTCTTCTGAGGCCCTGCTGACGAAAGCATATTGTTTAGCAAATGGCATGATTTTGAGGTGATTTCCTGATGGTTATTGGATAACAGATTCTCATTTTTAATAGAGAACATCTTTTATGTTGAGTATGTGACTCATCTATAACAATTCAATTTAAACCAAGTGCCACATGGCTAAGTTATCTTGTTCTTATCCCATGTAAAACAATAGGCAAGAAAACAGAGAATGTATTGTAGTGTGCCATTTGATACCAGAGGCTCCGTTACCTCCTAAGGGATCCTCAACATCTGTTGGCTGGGCTGGCGCTTTCTTTGTATTAGAAGACCTGAGTATAGAGTGAGCTGTAGCCTGACATCTGGAACGCTCTTTCTAATTACAGTACTCGCAGAAGGAAGACAAATACGAGGAAGAGATCAAGGTCCTTTCTGACAAGCTGAAGGAGGTAATATTATGAGTGTTTTAGATGAAGCCAACAGGATTTTAAATGAGTCCATTTGTGTAAAGCTGGTCAGGGCTTCTTCATTTCAAAAGTATGGTGATCCAAGTCAGGAATATCCAAAGGTGGTGTTGGAGTTAGTGCGCTGTGCTAGTGACTGACTGAAGTGTTCAGACCCGTTTTATGGGTGCTATGCTTGATTTTGATTCTCTAGTTTTCCCTGTATTTGTAGCTCCCAGAAATGTAAAACCTCCCGATTTTGACTAAAATAAATGGAATCATTACAGGCTGAGACTCGGGCTGAGTTTGCGGAGAGGTCAGTAACTAAATTGGAGAAAAGCATTGATGACTTAGAAGGTAAGATCTTAAGTTTTGTTTTTAATTTAGTCCTTATGGTTGAAAACTGACCTGGCGGAACACTTCGCCAATCCAAGTGCATCCTCCTGGATATACTTCTTTGCTCTTGCACATCCTTCCTGCCTGTCCTTTGGGGTTTCCATTCTGTGGCTCTTAAACTCTTGGACCTGAGTCCTCTGCTCTCCAGATGACTGTTAGCCACCAGATGAGGCACGTCTCTTTGTAAGGGCAGATGCCATCCAGCTTTCCTTCACACTGTGCAGAAGTGGGGCAGGTTTATTTGTTGTTGTTAGGTGAGAATGACTTAGTGTATTCTCTGCTTATTGATACCTCCTAATTGTCAGAGTGGCATGGATTCGTTTTTAGACACAACTCGTCTTCCAAGTGTGAATTCAATGTAACAGTTGGGTTCTTGTGGTTTTAAGTCCTTAATATCTTGGTAAATGCTCTATATTCTGAAAGGGGGGGTGAGGGTAATAGGACATTGTTTTTTGAGATTATGTTCAAGCCTTTCTCTCCTAAGATATTTAGGTTTTTGTTTTAGTAACACCTGCCTTTGTCTCACGGAAATCCTAAATGTTGAACTCTGAGGCTCGTGAAAGGTCAGCTATGAAAAGGAAAGAAAGGAGAATGCATAGAATATACAAGAAAGGCAGAAGGGGCTGGCGAAGGCATCCAAGCTAGTGGAGAAGAGAGAATGACAGGTGGTTGTAAAACAGTCTGCCAAAGTACAGCAAAGTGTGAAACCTTCATCACTACAAAAACTAAATTGCAGACTTGGCAAGAGCCCCACCATAAACGTGTGGCTGTCCTCGCTTTTCAAACCTCGTGGGCCAGTAACAGGGTAGCTTAGTGAGAAGACCAAAGGAGTAGCTCACAGGACACTAAGAAACCGACATCCCAGTGGTCTGGTTTGGTCAGGAAGTCAGTGGCTTGAAGGCGGAGCCAGATAAGGATTACAGAGTCACAAATTGTTCTTCCAAAACACTGCCCTTGGGAATTTTTTCCACTGTTGAGAGTTGCAGATGGTTGACTACTCCAGTGGAATTAAAATATAGCTATAGAAAGGAAAGCTATTCTATTACCTACCCAGGAGACGGCCTTCTGTGGTTGTATTCAGGGTATAACATGGTTTACTGAGAAACCAATCCTGTTTGTTATGATTTTTCGTATTGAGTCTTTCTTGTTTTATTTTCTAATGGGTTTTGTTCTTTTTGTTTTTGTTTCAATTCATTTAAAAACAAAACGCACGCCTCCTGCATTGGCCACCTGCTGCGGCATCAATTCCTTCATGCATTGCCCTTTTCTTGCTGCTGTGTGGGGATGGTGTCCATGCCACCCTCGCTCACCCTCCATCTCTTGATCACTCTCCATGCCCTTGCACCTCTGCCTTCCACTTCCTGGTCATAGACGAGCTGTACGCTCAGAAACTGAAGTACAAAGCCATCAGCGAGGAGCTGGACCACGCTCTCAACGATATGACTTCCATGTAAATGTTGATCCACCCTGCCTGCTCACATCCGTGCCCTCACGCTAATATGATAAACTCACCACTGCTGCCTTCTGTACCTCCAGAATCTCCATCTTCACACCTTTCTGTTTGCTCTCTCTGCATAATCTAGGATAGTTATTGTCTGCTCACATTCTACTAATAGAAGAGCCGAGTAGATTAAGTCAGTCTATACACATCATTTTCCCTTCAGAATGTGTTTATTTCATGATCTCTGAGCTAAATTGTCCCCACCAAGCAGTGAACTGAAATACGAATGGCTTGAGCACTACCCTTTTAGGAAATTAAACTAGGCTCAAGTAAAACTAGAAGGCTACGCAGTGGTGCAGGAGCTTCTCCGGAAATACCAAAGATCGGTTTCCCGAGATTCGATTAAATACAATAGGATCATTTTTGGTAAAAGAAATGTACACTTAAGGAACCCTCAAGTGTCTGGTTACTGAGGATCTGAGAGGAGATTGATCCAGTACAGCCTAGGGAATGGTTGAGAGATGATCTCTTCCTCACCTGTAAGAATTCTGGAGAGAAATGGTTCATCTGCTGAATAACCGAGGCTTTAATTTTCTGTGTTTAAATAAAAGGCATTGAAATATTCACAGTGAACACCACAGCTGGTGTCAAAGAATTGGGATACAAGACACCAATTACACAGTATGAGTTAAGCAGTTAATGGCTCACCTTTAACTGTGTGAGGCAGTGAGAGAGTAGATACCTTGTTCACATGCGAACTTCGATCATCCACAACTAATCCGCGTATTGCTAACCCAACCTAAGCGTTACACTTCTGCTGCTTCTCTAAATTCTAACTTGGAGTGTTCCACAGAGCGTTCTCTTCATTCTAATAATATAGCGCTGAATTCCACATAAGCTGGAAATTTCAGACCCACCCGTGTACGAACATGGTAGCGTAAAGAGTGTGGCATGTGCCTGCTGCCTTACAGGCTATAGAATTTCCACATCACCATTAGAGACGTGACTGTCACCGTGGAAAGTAGAGAGAATTCCATCCTCTCTTCCTTCGTTTGTAAATGTGGGGGTGAATCAGAACATCTGTCTCGAGGTCTTTTCTGGTGCTAAAATGTGGTGATTCTATAGGGAAAATTTGTGGCATCAAGAATGCTCAAATATTCTGAAAGGTGAGTTAGCTTAAAACCTGTTTTTGAATTCTACTCATGGGCCTTCTTGACGATGGACCGTCACCCAGAGGGGCCTGTGCTGGCCTTGGGTCTAGACACGGGTGGGCGAGGAGGGACATCCTCCTGCAGGTGCGGCTGGCAGTGGGTTTTGCATGTCTGCTTCCCGCCTGGGTTTCAAGTGCTACTCTCATCTGTTAGTTTGCTTTTCCTTTTTTCCATTGTGCCACTTTTTTTCTTTTTCTCCCGCCTTTTCTCCTCATGCAGATAAGTTTCTTTGCTTCACTTCTCCTGAGACCCCTTCATCAAGCTGGCTGTCCCACCTCTCTGAGCTCTGCGGTTTGTCTGTTCTCCATCTGACCTGGCTCATTCTTTTAGCATCCTGCCTGAGAGCCAGGCACACTGCTTTCCATTGTACAGAAACTCCTCATTTCAGTGTAAAATAAACACTGTG